GCAAACCCATTATGTTGGTTTTGTCGTGACATGGCTGATATAATCATTATACTCTCTAGAAATAAATATCATGTATCATAAAATCTGGATACGTTAAATACCGTGATAACACAAACAATTGCCAGGTATACCAGTGTCTTCTTTGCAAAGAATGGAGAGGATACATACATATGACGAAGATAAAGTAGTTTTTCATAACTACGATGCTTATGTTTCCAAGGTAATTTGAGTTTTAATTACATGTATAATGGATAACATGAGTAATGATGGTGGCCACATAAGTAATCGGAAGAATAACAACTCTTATTATTTGAATCCCGCATATAAAGATGAGTACTAAGTAATGCAAAAATATTGTAAATGGACCAAGATGTCATCAACATATGCATGTATGTATTATTCTATGTTCAACAAAAAGTAATCTGTCCATATCTATCCATTACTTGTATAGATGTTACCAAAACATTTTGTAGATTGTACAAACTGTTATAGCATAAAATGAAAGCAATAAGGAATGAAGATGAACAATTTATTTCGGTAAACTTTTTTTATTTCATTTTTTTCATTGAATCTAAGATCAAGTCTAAATAATGCCATAGAACCTACAATAGTGCGTGTACCAGTTCTAAAAGTAACTAAAAGGAAAACATTCTTTTAACTTAAGTTGAATTTTTCCAAAAAGTTATTTATTAAAGTAGTACGCCCCAAGAAGATAAAAGAAAATCTATCGTTGTAATAGTATTTCCAAATCTGTATTAATAGACCTAATATAGTTGAGAGAAATGGAAATATTGCTTAAAATGTGTGTAAACAAACATAATACACGGGCTTACGTTCTTTAAATATACAACGAAATTCTTTCATCTTAGTTATTTTAGTATCGCGTGACGGTGGTTTAAAAATCCCTGAATGTCGTCGGGGTTTTCGACACTACAGTGACACTTCACAATGTTGAACAAATTATCTTTTCTATTTATATCGGCTGCTGCTTTAGTAACACAGTAGATCGTTAGCAACTAACGCAGCATATTATGATTTCGTAAGTATCGCAACAGATTATGCAAAGAAAAAATACATTCTGTTGGCAAATTAGTCGTCAACTTGTTTCGTGAAGTATCGGTATATTAGTAACGGATTAGACAAGTATGTACCGTTTACTTTAAACATTATTTCATTAGTTTCAGTTTACCGTTTAGAGACGTACTGCTTTATATGATCGCACACATACCAATCACAAGATTTTCCCACATTCTTTTTTATTTCCTTAAATCAGTGATGACTGTATCATCTAATAATGATCAGACTGATAGCACCATTTATAATAAGAAATACTAACGTAAACAGTTCAACAGTACATGTCTGCAACAAGCATGAGTTTGTTTTGTTTAATTGGACATTGTATTCCAGGTGCTTTTCACGTTGAGCACTTTTTATACTGATATAAGATGTTATAACGTGCTGTGTGACAGCTTTAAATAGTTGCCCCTGCTTCACCTAATAATTCTAAAAGACTTGTACTGGGAATTGAATATTGATTAAACCATAATAGGGGGCTTGAAAAAAATGTTGCACTTCGAATTGGTTTGTAAATTGTAGTAAATTGGCTATGAGACTAATTGCAACCCAATGTTTGTTTGACTTAAACAATTTAAAAAAAATGAGTTGCCTTAACTGGGATTTGAACTCAGACCTCTCGCTTCCTAAGCGAGCGCGCTAACCCCTCGGCCATGAACATATATTCATCGTGACCGAGGGGTTAGCGCGCTCGCTTAGGAAGCGAGAGGTCTGAGTTCAAATCCCAGTTAAGGCAACTCATTTTTTTTTAAATTGCTTAAGTCAAATAAACATTGGGTTGCAATTAGTCTTATAGCCAATTTACTACAATTAAAACGCTGGAAAGCATTTAATTGGTGGCACTATAGAAAAACATATTGTTTTATAATCTCACAACCTTCACCTTTCTGACATTCTGAGACCCAAACAAATTCAGCGCCATCTGTGCTTTGATTTGTTATGAATGGACTTGAGAAAATAGTTAAACTGGTAAAAAGGCCGCGAAATCCAGTGTTCTGTTGAGATATCTGTGGGATGTTAATGAATATGATCTTCAGTTCTTATATTTCACAGTTATTTCTAAAATAATAAGTGGATATTTTTTTCGTTTAACGTGAAATATGGAATATATTTTCACGAAACATGATAAAATGCCAAATATGTGGCATTTTATCATGTTGAGTGAAAATATATACCATATTTCACGAAAAACGAAAAAGTAACCTTTTTATTTAATTTCATTATCAAAGAAAAATGGTTACGAACCCCCTTGCATGATACGCAACTGCAGTTGTACAGTGCACAGTAATATAATTATTGTCTTCACGTAAACAACTCTTTAAACGTCTGTACAGCATTAATTACTGAATTTAAGATATCGGTGTTCGGATTAATTTTCTTACTAAGACCATTTTCTATCATTTTAGATAGTTAAACAAAAAGTTGTTTTGTATTCATCAGATTTTTCAAACAAAATGGCGAAAGAAGTCCCTTAAAATAAATATGAGTTTTGACTCCGCCCACTTTCATATTTATATTTCATATTTTTTTTTTAAAAATATGAAATATATTTGACTGATATTGCACCATATTCCATGGGTAATATTAAATAAACTTGTATATATATTTTATTTTAAGGTTCAAAGTTGCCATATGACGTCAGTTGCCTCACTTATTGAGTACTTTAAAGAACCGATTATCGAAGACGAGAATCGTGAAATATTCCTTGCGCGTGCATTCTTCATGTGGTTGGCGAACATGGAAACCAATCTTGTGCACGGACTACCTGATGACATCAATAGCATTCTTCAAAAAAATACAGTGCATGCGTTTGCTGCGCTGTGCGAGTAAGTAGTTCCCAACGCTCAAACACAACATGAATGCTAAACTGATAAATAAATTTACAAAAAAATGTTTCGGTAAAAAAAAATTAAAACGTTTGAAGAGGAGAAACAAACAGAGTTAACATTAAAAAAGAAACTGATTCCATGTAAACAATGAGATGCTTTTAATTCTAATGACAAGAAAAACTAGAAATTGATTCCATTGTGGTCTTTTGCAAAAGAAACACGACATCGACTGTATAATTTAGAAATCAGAAAACATAATTACAATAGAATATTTAAACGACAGAAAGCTTTTTCCTCAGAGATACATTTCATTGAGACTCATAATTATGATATTTCAATGTTGAAAATTTGTAAAATTATTCATAGCTACATACCTTCAGCTTTTTCAGCCTTGCAAATGTTTTACAATATTTTTTAAAAGTAGTAGTTGAAATAGTAGCCACAATAGCAGTAGTAGAAATAGTTGTAATAATAGCAAAAGCAATAGCACGAGTAGTAGAAGAGGTAGTAGGAGTAGTAGAAATAATACTAGAAGAAGTAGTTATTGTCACAGACACTAAGGGTGTGGGGCTCAAAAAGCCTTTAAAATCCAAATAAAATATATATTGGTCAATCCCAGCGCATGTACTGATCATATATGAAAAAAAACTTGATATAAGCTGTTTTGAAAAAAAATCATATTTTAACGTCTATAATAATTATTATTGTGGTAGTGGTAGTGGTAGTGGTAATGGTAATGGTAGTGGTAGTAGCAGTAGCAGAAGTAGCAGTAGTAGAAGCAGCATTAGTAGCAACAGTAGCAGTAGGAGTAGTGGTGGTAGTAAAAGTAGTGGTAGTAGTAGTGGTAGTTGTGGTAGTGGTGGTAGAAGTAGTGGTAGTAGTGGTATTGGTGGTAGTAGAAGTGGAAGTAGTAGTAGTGATATTAGTAGTAGTATTGGTAGTGGAAGTGGTATTGGTAGTGGTAGTAGTAGAAGTAGTAGTAGTGGTAGTAGTAGTGGTAGTGGAAGTAGTAATAGTAGTGGTAGGTAGTAGTAGTAGTAGAAGAAGTAGTAGTGGTAGTAGTGGTAGTGGTAGAGGTAGTGGTATTGATAATTGGTAGTGGAAGTGGTAATGGTAGTGAAAGTGGCAGTAGTAAATAGTAGCAGCAGTAGCAGTAGTTAGTAGTAGTAGTGGTAGTAGAAGTAGTGGTAGAAGAGTGGTAATAGTAATAGTAGTAGTAGTGGTAGTAGTAGTAGAAGTAGTGGTAGTGATAGAAGTAGTAGTAGTAGTGGTAGTGTTGGTAGTGGTAGTAGTGGTAGTGGTGGTGGTGGTGGTAGTGGTAGTGGTAGTTGTTGCGGTAGCAGTAGCAGCAGCAGTAGTAGTAGCAACAGCAGCAGCAAAACAGGGGTAGTAAGAGTTAAGTCGAGTTAAAGAAGTATTGCTAGTGCTGATGTTGTATGATCTTTGTGTATCGTTTAAGGTCAGCCAATATTCAGCACCAAGTGGTGGAGGGTATTTCAAAAGGCTTAGGTTATTTACCAGGCCATGATGAAAGCAACAAAGGTATAATAAATTTTTGTTGGAACACATTCAAGTCAAACGACCGCTGGCACATTGTTGATGTTGATAGAGGTATCTTTTCAAGAACAGGATATTCAAGAGGAGGTGAAATACTTTTAGAAAGTGAAGGGCAAACACTTCTCAAGGAGACAGAAGAATCAGTAGGAAATTGTGTCATTGATATAAACGACTTTTGGTTTTGTCTAAACCCGAGTATATATATCTTCTATTCATTCCCAGATGATCCCGAATGGCAGCTTCTTCCAATCGCCAAACGCATAAGCAAAGCAGAATTCTTTTCATCACCGCTCTTTCAAGATTCCTTTTTCATTGCGAAACTTCATATGCTAAGTGAACACACTGGACTTTTGTATTCCAAAAATGGTAAATGTACCATTTCTTTTGGAGCAAATAAAGTTGATACAAGATACATGTCTATGACGTACGGTCTTTCTTTAAAGAAAGATACAGTTAATTTGAATGAGATCGATGCACGAGATTTACCTCTGTTGGTTCTTTATGCCCCAAGCATTGACACATTCACCTTTAATATACGATTTCCTGTGGCAGCAGAATATATCTTTGAAATATATGTGTCAGCTCCGGATATAAAATATAGTGGTTGTTATTTGTTTGCGACATTCAAAATTATCTGTTCGCAACCAGATCCAAATTGCAAAAAACTTCCTTTGCACACAGGCTCTACTGGATATGGGTTCGGATATACAGCCATTGACTTTGGTCTTAAAAACCCGTCTACATCTTTGCCAAACGTCCATGTTGAATGTGGCCAAAAAGATGAAGTAGATATGACCGAACTAACATTTCAGATAGACAGCGATAAGATTAATGAAGCCGAATTTTTATCTGACATAGTTGGAGAGGAACACAATGAAAACGGTAATTATAGATAACATAACAGTTTTCAGTTTAACATATGCTAAACATTTTCTTGCGTATACTTTCAGGCACTACGATGTATTCACATACAGAAATGCATGCAATATAGTATGAATATGTAGATTCTGAAACATAATTACATATTGCAAACGCTATTCTGCCAGATCAATGAAAAATATTCATTTTCTTAATATATAAGTTTATCTACACCAGACTGATTAAATTTATGATTGGGGTACGAATATAAGGTGCTTTGTCCCAAGAAAATAAAACTACCAGTATAAAAAGGTAACATTATTTACAGTTATTATGAAAAAAATCAGGTAACCATTATGTAAAAGATTGGTAATTATTTACTTATATAAGAATGTTTTAGTGTTTAAAATAGACTATTCAATAATGAATTGATCTCTCCTGGAATTGTAGTTGTTACAAATACACGTGTAGACGAGATTCATGGTAAACTTCATGTGTCAGCTGGAATGAAGAAACAAGGAGAATATGCTTTGTCAATAATTGCCAGAGATAAACGAACAGATAAATACTTTGCAAGAATTGTGAACTATCTTCTTACAACAAATTCTACAGAAGAAGATGGTTAGATTTTGATATTTAATAATGCAGTCTCAAAAGTATATAGCTACAGAAACATGAGCTTAGTTTCTTTTTTATTACCAGTTTCTTGGCCTTAAGTGTTCGCGCATATTTTGAACAATGCTATTATCAAGTTTTTGTCATTATTTAAGTTTTTAAATTTAAAAATTGCTTCTTGAGTTTGTTTATTAATGTTAGTATATATTTTTTTCTTTTTATCATACCATCATTTCAACAATAATTTCAATGATTTGTTTCATAAAACTGATATGGTATATAACAATTCATTAGAGGAAATGAAGTTGCAATTGAAGAAAAGAAAGAAAGAATTGACACTACAATCTAAACTGCAAAAACGTCATGAAAAGAAAGATTCTCTGACAGCAAAGATAAAGGACATAGAACTTGAGATAGATAACCTTAAGAACTCATGTAAGTATATAAGATAAGTGAGATTAGCTAAGCTTAAATAGAAAAATGGTCTGTTGACAAATATATAGAACATAGGAAGATACGATACGAAGGAAGTTTTGAAAGTGTCGGATCTTTTAGTGACATGATACATTTGTATGCTTAAGAACAGATGTAACAATTCTTTACGTGATTTTTGTCCATTTATTTTATTCGTAGCTGATGAAATAACGGACGATGTGACAGTCAAAGAAGACATGAAAAAAATCAAATCACCAGCAACAATGGCGAGTGCAACAGAAGGTAAGATGCTAATACTGGTCGATACGTCAAAGGATTTTCACTTTAACGTCATATATTGGACATATATTTATCCAAGGTGCCTGCAAAATAATGTTTAGCCAAATTGATTGATTAATGACATATTTATCCTTATAGACAACAACATGTACATTACAATACATATTAACTTTCCTTTTTGTTTTCAGGTGCCAGTAGAAATTCTTTAAAAGCAGATGTTTCACAATCCAAATCATGTGTTGTTCTGTAAACGCCTCCTGTATACAGCTCCTGTATACAGGGGAAAAGACTTGTTTCTGAGGAGCCAACTTACTTGATATTCCTGCAGTGTCAGAATGATGCATTCTAGACCGATTACTCAGACTTCATTCTAAAACAAAATGAGCTGCGCCATGACAAAACCAACAAAGTTTGTTCGCAAACGCACTATGTTGGTTTGTCATAGCGCGACTCAAATATTGACATTAATTTATGGTTTAATTCACAACCATTTAAGTCTGGAACATATACATGTGATCACTAGAAGAGTGCTGTGTATTTCTAATACTACAACAGTTTCATGTAGGTGTTTTCATATCTAAGCGTTTCATAATACAAAACATTTAATAGAAGTAGGACACATCCAAATGCGAATGAATTTATCATAAAAAATTAACGAACACTTCCTTTTTCAGTAAGTCACTATTACTTATTCTTTATATCTTTACACGCTTTATCGCAGCACAATTTCGATAATAATTCCTATTGATTTATCAGAGGGTTTTATATATTCAGTCAATATATTTCTTAAATTTGTAATTAAAGAGAAAAGGCTTAAAGTTTGAAGAAAATGATGAAACGTATCAAACTCAATGGAATTTTTCTACTTTCTATATCATTTCACAATATAAAATGTATTAATTTCTTGTAAGATATCTGACATATTTTGTTCCCATGCACTCATAATCTTCAAGATCAATAATATTGTAATTTCATTAAATCTACTGTGTATCAATTCATAACCTCGTTGTATTATCATTGTACTTTAATTGTAAACTTACCATGGGATATTTCTATGGCAATATAGTTTGTTTTCATGTTCATTAATGATATTTTTACCAAACAAACCTTTACATGAAATTAAGGTTTTATCTTTGCTTTTAAGAATTTACATTGAGTTTTATTGTTTTTGAACATCTCTGAATTGTATTAAAATATTTAACAGTGGTTCAAAGCAAGTAAATACACGAAGTTAAATCTAAAAATGATACATATCATCTACCATACGCATGTTAAGACGTTTTTGCACTACGAATTATTAATCATTATGTTCATGTTACAAATATTACCACATTTTGCACATGTTTTGTTTGTTTTTGTTAAAATAAGATATATCTACTGAATAGTGATCAAGGAAAAACCGCAATCTATCGTATTCAAGTAGTGTTATGTCTTTTTATGTATTGTCCAGGTCAAGCAAATATAACTGGCAAGACGAACTTGTTTGGTATGAGATAAAACACAACACTTAGGTTGAATGAAATAGGGCATTTATTAAATGCCATAAATGACAAATGTTACATAATAACAAAACATGACAAATGTTACATAATAACAAACATGGCATGTACAATTTGTATCGAAATAACCAAACTGGAGGTAAAAAACCGCCAGATTATGATAACATTGTAATGTAATTCAAATAGATTACAATCTTAACAAAAGTTGTGTAAGATGACAAAGTTGAACCAAAAAACCATCTACATAAATATAATAAAATGGATTGCTGATCAAAAACAATTGACCAGAAAAAATAAATATTTTCCAAATCGTGTCGACTCGCCCAGGAAAAACCATAGTTTGGAAACCTGTGCCCTTTTATCTTGTGTCTAGTACCACTTGATGTAGGGCTCCATCCTTGGAAAATAGTTTAAACATTCTATACATTAAAAAGTGTATAACATATGACTAGATCATAAGTATTTTATGACAACAAATAGAAAAATATTTGAAAGAGATAATATAACATCGACTAGTTTTATAAATCTTTGCATGAACAATATACATAATATTATATATATATATAGTGTCTCTCATGAATAGTTGCACAAAATAATTGAGATAAACAATAAGTGAAACAACTGATTCATTAAGAATAAATGAAATGGTATTTATATCAAACATCAAAAATTGAAAGAGGAGGATGGAGTTGGAGGAGGTGGATTTTAGTAAACAGAAAGGCGAGAATCATTCCTCGCCAAAATTATTTCTTTGTGATAGATCTAATGTAATCATTGGTTTAATTAACATCACATGATTTAAGTCTTGATATCGATTGGTTTAAGACGTACTTGGCTAAAACCTGCCCCGTAACGGCTAAAAACCTAACCCGTAATATTCTGTACAGTAATGAGTATAGGGACAGAACAATGACATAAATTTTATTTTATGTGGGCATAAAATCTATTTTATGTATTGTCCAGGTCAAGCAAATATAACTGGCAAGACGAACTTGTTTGGTATGAGATAAAACACAACACTTAGGTTGAATGAAATAGGGCATTTATTAAATGCCATAAATGACAAATGTTACATAATAACAAACATGACAAATGTTACATAATAACAAACATGGCATGTACATATTTGTATCGAAATAACCAAAACTGGGAGGTAAAAACCGCCACAAAGGGAACCTTCCGCCACCCAGGGAGACTTGACTAGGGATGAGCTTGACCTGTAATAAGGATTGAAACAGAGGGGCTAAATTTGCCGAAGTTACCATTAATTTAATCAAGTCATGTTAGGACAAAAATGTTACGACAAATCATATATCTAATGACAATATTATAATATGTGTAGAATTAATGTCTAACATTTAAATGGATCCTGACTTGTTCTTTAAATATATGTGGACTGCAGCCTTAAACTGTCAGGCACATTACAGGATATGCTATTGTAAACCAGCAACTGAGTTAATAGACCAAATAATTAGCTGTGAAAATACTTTATAACAATTACATTATATATGTATTATTGAGACATCTGACAGTATGCATTATCTGGACTGTTTCAACGTCTAAACTGATTGTAACAAATAGAGGTATGAATCAAATTTATAGTTTCAAACTATGTGTAATGGAAAATTGTTACAAGATATACTAGTCATCAATGACAATGAAACTAGAAAAAATTCTTTTTTAAATTAGAAATTAGGAATGGATTATTATTGTATCAGCAACCAGATATCCTTCAATGGTGAACAGCCAAAAATTGCATGGCCATGGCTTCCAAGTTGCAGTCATCAAACTTAGCACAGGCCCCTAGCCTGTGAAACTAGTTCATGAAGTGAAAAAATATACAAAAATTTAGTTAAATATATAGTAGTATGAATTCAAAACTGAATTTGGGCTAGTAGATTGTAAATTAAAATTTTAAATGCATAGACTGGAGTATGTCAACAGTGCGTGGCACCTTAGACATTTAAACATACACATCTCCTATGAAGGTATGTGACATTGAATTTCAGTTAGTATCTTCAATTTGCGTAAGTCCTAGCGGATATGCCAATTCTTTCGAATCATTTATTCCTTAAACCTTTAAAATGCATTAAACCAAAATAGATGTAAATGTCAATTTGTTCGCTATACATTTTTCCAATTATCAGTTAAGACCTAATGTAGAATTGAAATCAAAATTGTAAAATATCTAATTAAACCTTATTTATGCATTTGACCTAAATACATGTGAGTCTGACGTGTCTAATGTTAATTTGTTCATTATATGATTGTTGCATGAAAAATATAAATTAATGTATTAAGTAAGGATAAATAGAAAAAGTTTCTATACAAGACTAGACTCTTCCAAAAAATTATAAAGTAACAAGACCTTTGAACAAGATGTAAATGTAAACATTTCTACAATAAAACATAAAAACCTTCAGTACAAATGTACTTATAACATTTACATCAATCCATTCAACTAGTGATAAATAATATCATGCAGTAGTAGCATGAACACAATCTGAAATTATATGTATGATTAATTAAGAAACCTGCAGCCTTGTACTGTCAGATTTTTATAAAACCTTTATGAAGCCAAATTGTGCATATCTGCCACAAGATATACATGAATAGGAATACCGTCATACTCATTATTATGGCACGAAAGAAATAAACTTCAGCCTTGCACCGTCAGCAAGGAGAAAACTGCAGCCTTGAACTGTCAGTTATTTGAAAGATTGTAATGACACTCAGTTGGCAGTAATTCACTGTCTTTTTTATAATATCTAAAGAACTGCTGCCTTATACCGACAGATCATAAATTACCAAAAATAAAAGTGGAAAAACTGTAACCTACAGTATGTATAACGTACTGCAGCCTTTTAACTGTCAGTAATTTAAAAGATTGTAATGGCACTCAGTTTGCTGAAATTCACTGCTTTTTCTATATATAAAGATCTGCTGTCTCTATACCGACAGATCTTAAATTACGAAAAATTAAAGTGTAAAACTGTAACCTAGATTAATTAAGAACTTATGTATTTAAGACATGATGTGGAAATCTCCCGCGGCCTTTTATAAAGGCTGTCGTTCCTGACTAGATATTGGACATTTTTCTTGCGCGGGCTAGTAGGGTTCCCATACATGATTAATTTGAAAAGAGCTTCTGGCATGATGTAACAATGTATCTATGTACAATTAAAATCCAATTTCATATCAAATTAAAGCATCAGCCGTGCAGAATGGATAAAATAAACTAAGCAAAGCTGACAAGACAGTACATAATTTGAGACTTGAAAACAAATTGCAAAGCATTTAAACTAAGCAATGCACACTATTCAAATTTATGAATGAAGGCAAATCGCGTCAACTAAGCAATGCCTAATACAGCAATGGTATGCTGAAATAGTATCAAGGCGTGTAAACTAAGCCAAGCTGACCAGTACAGACAAACAAATGGCAAAGCGTGTCAACTAAGCAATGCCTAATACAGCAAGGGTATGCTGAAATAATAGCAAGGCGTGTAAACTAAGCCAAGCCGACCAGTACAGACAAACAAATAGCAAAGCGTGTCAACTAAGCAATGCCTAATACAGCAATGGTATGCTGAAATAATAGCAAGGCGTGTAAACTAAGCCAAGCTGACCAGTACAGACAAACAAATGGCAAAGCGTGTCAACTAAGCAATGCCTAATACAGCAATGATATGCTGAAATAATAGCAAGGCGTGTAAACTAAGCCAAAGCTGACAAGTACAGACAAACAAATGGCAAAGCGTGTAAACTAAGCAATGCCTAATACAGCAATGGTATGCTGAAGATAATAGCAAGGCGTGTAAACTAAGCCAAGCTGACCAGTACAGACAAACAAATGGCAAAGCGTGTAAACTAAGCAATGCCTAATACAGCAATGGTATGCTGAGATAATAGCAAGGCGTGTAAACTAAGCCAAGCTGACAAGTACAGACAAACAAATGGCAAAGCGTGTAAACTAAGCAATGCATAGTACAATAATGGTATGTTGAATTAACTTGAAAGAATAGCAAGGCGTGTAACTAAACCAAGATGACAAGACAAGTACAGAATCTATTTCTGGTTTATAAAAGGTGTAATTATTAGCTCAGCAATCTGAATACCATTACTTCTTATGTTATTTCAACTGTCTTGGGCAATAAATATGAATTTCCTTGAAGCTGTGTAAAACATGTATGCCAACATCAGTTTATTCATTATCTGACTCAACCTTGAAAACTATGAAACATGTAATGAAAGGCTGCTAATGTACTGATGAAAGCATTGTCTTAGGTCCCAGGTCCGCTTGCACTATTAATTCAACGATAATGATTGCGCCCACGACTAGTCTTGGTTTTTGCAGGATTTACTGGACATTCTTGGTATTTGGCTTTTCCTTGTTGTGGA